CACGGTTCCACTCTCCCCACTGTCTCCACGGCCCCAACCACTGCCCGACTATCCCCACTGTCCCCACTGTCCCACTGACTCCTCCGCTGTCCCACTGAGCTGTCCCACTGTTCCCACCACTGTCCCCACTGTCCCCACCACTGTCCCCACTGTACCTCCGTCCCATTGTCCCACCGCCGTCCTCGCCACCGCCTTCACCACTGTCCCCACCACCATTGTACCCTCCACTGTCCCACTGTTTCCACCTCATTCCCATTGTCCCCACACCACTGTCCCCACCACCACCGTCACCACCACTGTCCACTGTCCCCCCCCCTGTTCCCACCATTGTCCCCACCACTGTCCCCACCACTACCGTCCCCACCACTGTCCCACTGTCCCACTGTCCCCACCACTGTCCCGCTATCCCCTCACCACTGTCCTCACCAACACCGTCCCCACCACTGTCCGCACCCCCACTTGGTTTTCGAGGAAGGGGGGGGGGTTCGAACCGGTAGTGACCCCCCCCGGTTTTCCGGATCCGGAGGGGGGGGGGGGGGGACCCCTCCCCCCGCCCCCCCCCCCCCCTTTTCATGATGAGCAGGGGGGGGGGGGGGGAGGGGTTCGAACCGGTAGCGACCCCCCCCGGTTTTCCGGAGGGGGGGGGGGAGGGGTTCGAACCGGTAGTGACCCCCCCGGTTTTCCGCCAGCAGCGGTAGAACACGCTCTTTCATATATATATAATATATATAGATATTATATATATATATATATATATATATTATATATATATGTATATATATACACAACTATATATGTATATATATGTATATATATAACATACACGTGTATATATAGATTTGTGTATGCATATGCCTAGTGGCATATATACTCGCACACACATACATACATTCCTACATACAAACATACATACAAACATACGTACATACATACATACACGCAAAACACACGCAGACACATACATACGTATATGTATGCATGTATGTACGCATGTGTACATCTATGAGTGTATAGTATATACACATGTATATACACGTGTATATATATACATATATATATAAATATGTCTGTATATATACATATGTGTGTACATATATATATATATATGTATATATATCTGTACATACATGAACCACGTTGCCAGAAAGGGGGCGCGCGGGGGCCAGGTAAGCGCCGCGGCCCGCAGGGCCTGGTGCGGCACTGCCTCTGACCGACGTCCTGGCCGAGGCTCCCATCGTGATTCCCTTGTCGGGCTCTCGGCCCTCCTCGCCGCGGCGGCGATTCCCTCTGCGCGCTCGTGTAGCTGGAGCACGTGCCTGTACCAGCGCCTGCCTGGCTCGTCCCGCCCGCGCTGTTCCAGCCACGCGCGCGGGGAGCTTGCTCGGGGGCGCCGCGCCCGCGAGAGCGCAGTCCTCCACTGACACGTCGAGCACTCGGGCCCTATAGGGGCAATGGAGTTCGGAGAAACGGCGAAATCGCCGCTCCACGTTGCCCGTGGACGTGTTCCACACGAGGAAAAGCCCCACCTGCCGCCGGCCGCTGGCAACTCAGGCCACGCCGCCGCAGCGCGGCCCCAAGCTTGCCGCTCGGTGCCCCCATCTCGACGATGTATATCGGCGCGCTTCAAAATGCGCCGCACCTGGGCGATGGCCAGCCGCTCAGGAAGGCCTGCCTCCTTACAGGTGCGCATCAAACATGCCTCGGCTTCTGACGCAGACCCCATTGCGCCCGAGTCTGCTGCAGACAAAGAGGAAGGCAAACGAAACGCCGAAAAAGCATGCAACCAATAATGGTATGGTCGATGCAGTTGCATGTTCCCCTTCACGTTCGCTACGATTACCTGCGCCCGTCGGCGAGCATTGTGGACGGTCTCCCTGACTCGGGGCTCCGTGATCCAATCGCCGATGCCCACAATTTGCACGCTGTTGCCGCGCGGGCACCTAGACATCTGCCGCAAAAACTGGAGGGTGATGCCCGTGAAACCGCAGGGGATGGCCAAAATCGCCCCATCGATAAACAACGTGCTCAGCCTAGTGAAAAACGAAGCGGCCCTGGCTTGGACGGCGGCGGCGCCGGGGATGTCATTGCCCCCAGTTGCGACCCACGAGTAATGTTCCGCCGCCAAGTCCGCCGGCAAGCAGCCGAGCAGCGTGCGCGAGCTGTTCTCGCCCCCGAGCCCTTCCAGGAAAGATCGGGCGAGACTGCGCCGATCCTGGTCACTCCCCTTGTCTCGCCCCCGAGCCCTTCCAGGAAAGATCGTGCGAGACTGCGCCGATCCTGGTCGCTCCCCATCGATTCCTATCCGAGCGCATTGAATATAACGTTCCAGCGTCGGCTTTCCCGCGCCAGGGGAATCGCCCGGTTCCAGTCTCGCCTTCCAGCTGTTGCGCCCCCACTGCGGTGGGGAACGCGCTGGGCGCAGTCAAAAATTTGGCCAGTCTTGGCGGCATTCCACCCGTTACCAGCAGCATGTCCGTCAAGCAGGCAAATCGGCATGACCCACGGGGTGCGCTGGCGCAACACACAGGCCTTGTCCAATGAAAGAATGCCCGCCGCATCCTTCCCTTGGCGGTCTCCAAACCAGGTGGTGAGACACCCGGTGGCGACCCCGTTTCCCCCCCCAAAAAAAATTCTGGGTCACCACCGGGTTTGGGGGCACGCGATCGCCGCGAGGTTTTGCGCGTCCTGGGCCAGCCAGCGCTCGACAACCATTCCCCAAATCGCCCAAAACTCACCGCCAGGTGTTCTCACCACCACGTTTGGGGACCACCAGTTCCCCCTGAGACCCAGCGCGGCGAAAAAAGTAAGCCGGCGTGAAAATCGCGGCCAGAGCCTCGGACCCCATTTTCCTGCGCCAATTTCCGAACCGGATCGACATTCAAAAAGGAAACAATGGCGCTCCGCGCGGATTTCTTGGATCTGCGCGATTCCAAGAAATCCGCGGGGAGCGCCACAAGTGCATGTGTATGGCGATTGTTTTCTTCGAGATATGTGAGGTTCCCAGGGCCCGAAAAGGAGGCAAAGCCGCCCGCTGCGCAGCAAAAACCAACGCCGCGATCTCTGGGCGCGCGCGGAGAGTCGCCGCCAGTAGGGCCCAGCGCCGGCCCAAGAAATTCGCGCGAATCTACAAGAAATAACGCTTACGCTGGTTTCTGATCTGAGCGCGGCTCCGCTCAGACGGCGCGCCCCTCGAATCACTTCCCTGGCCGCTGCTCCTTCTCATCATATTCCTCATCATCCAAGTCTTTCCCGTCTCCTCCTGTTCAAACTCTTCCTCCTTACTCACTGCCACGTCCTCGTCCACAATTGCCTGATGTCGCGAGGACGCCTGAGGACTGAACCGCACGCAGGGTCGATCTGGACCTTCGGGGAGGCATACCGGGATCGATACCTCTACTTCCCAGACATCTCACGGGGTGCACTCTGACCAGAAGGGCGACGAGGGATCTCCATAAGAAATAGCGGTAGAAGTACCCCTTCCTTCTGTGAACCATGTCCTGTTCCTCCTCCCTGCTCTTCCTCAACCCTCTCCTCCTCGCCTCCTCAGCCATGCGCTCGTTAAATATATCTCTCACCGTCTACGCCAGACGGAAGCGGGCGACAGCCCTGTATTTACAGCAGTCGCAGCCGTTCTCATTTTTCAATATGTGTGTGACTGGGATGCATAGTACATCTCTTCAGGACAGCTCGAACAAGGCCTGGGCCGAGAGCCTCGGCATTCACCAAGGCGGCCCACAGGGCCGGCAAGAAACTTCAAAACCCCCACACCGTAGTGGCGAAAAGAGGGGACGGCGGGAGGAAAGACTTGAGCATAGACGGACGCGGCCGGAGGGGAGAGAAAGACGTTCAGAGAACTGTAGCATCTCTCACCCTCTAGGCCAGACGGAAGCGGGCGACAGCCCTGTATTTACAGCAGTCGCAACCGTTCTCATTTTTCAATCTGTGTGCGACTGGGATGCATCGTGAATCTCTTCAGGACAGCTCGAGCAAGGCCTGGGCCGAGAGCCTCGGCCTTCACCAAGGCGGCCCACAGGGCCGGCAAGAAACTTCAAACCCCCCAGACCCATACTGTGCTCTGGAGCCGCCTGAGGTGAAACCCTACCCAACTATCTGATTCAAACGGGCCCTTCGGAAAGCCTCAACGGATCTCACGAGCCAAATCGCAATGGCAGCTGATAGCCTCTTAGGGTAGGAAGCCGCGAGAGCGGTCTAGCTGATGCCAGTCCCAGGAGCCTTTCCCCGAAGGATGACGTGCGGTTTCAGACTAAAGGAGCAGCACCCGTGGCCTTTACACAGCAAGTGTTCGTGCCGGAGCATAGGGACGTGCCAGCCCACAAAGCGAGTACGCTTGCGCCAACGGGCCCCGAAACCGCACTGATCTACAAGCTGCTTACAGGAAGGATGGCCCATCAAGCCGACATTCGCGCTTCGCGCCACGCTTTTGAGGCGCGGGGATTCTCGAGCAAAACGGTGACACGCGATCGGATGCAAGCCCTCACAAGCCTACAGGTGACCTTCCGAGTTTGATTACCCGTCTTCAGTCTAGCGGCCTCAACGGGGGTCGGGTTTGGAATTCCGTAAGGGCACCAGGATCAACGAATCTGCGTGAACAAGGCTGGCGTCCAGCTGCTGCATGGGAAGGCTGCGAAGATTCCCTTCACCACGCCGGACTGGACCCAACCAAAGATCACGTTGACCACCACAGGGTTGGTGAGGCCCTACTCTGGCCCATTGAGAGAGCCAAAGCTGATGCAATTCTCTTTCATCGAGTTCAGGCGCTCACCAACGGCGCCTGTGCCCGATAATAAATCTAGATACACACGATTGTCATGAACGAGACTGGCTGCGCGCTGAAAAACTTTCCGAAGTCTACCTCGAATTGAATGAGCAGGCAAATGTTGATCCAAGCCCGCATTGTGGTCCCCACGGCCTCTATGAAAAAGGCCGACGTATCCCATCCCGCGCAGTCGCTTCCTTCCCAGCACTGGCGGCGGAGCTGGCTAGACCTGCAGGGCCAGCAGCACCTTCAGCTGGCCCTCGATGGCCAGGCCGTAGTCCCGCACCGGCATGGGCAGGCACTCTAGCGACTTCAGAACTCTTGCATGCATGATCTCCTTCAAGATGCGGATCAGCTGGAGTGCATCGTAGCTGTCGCCCCCGTGCCGCATCATGTGCGGGTGGAAGTTGGCCTGGCCCAGGCCGGCAGCTCCCGCCACGCGCTTGAACAGGCACGAGAACTTCCGATAAACGAATGACCACGCCTCGCCCCGGCCCGAGCGCTTCCTCCAGGTTGAGAGGCGTGGGTAGAGGCAGACCCGCTCCGGGCTGTCCCGCATGATGCTCACGTCGGACTCCTTGGTCTTCGTGAAGACGGCCTCCTCCTCGGGCGCCAGCACCAGCGCCCAGATCTTCAGCCTCCTGAAACCCTCTAGCGTGTTCTTGGCCCGCTCGATGACCTTCGCGCTGCGAATGCCCGTGACCCTGTACTCCAGCGCCGCGATCACCTTCTCGTGGTTGTGGCCCTTGAAGCAGAGGTCCTCCAGGTACTCGCGCATCGCGAGAGAGCTGTCCTCGCTGGCATCCAGCGGCGGGGCGCTGCTGCAGGCCCAGGTCTGGAAGTCCTGCAAGTACTTGTCGTACATCATGGCAGAAAGACGCGTCACCTCGTTCACCTTCCAGAAGTACTGGCCGAAATTGCGCGCCCTCGAAGCATGGCCCTGGCGGCCCAGCTGACGGCGGCGAGTGCGTTGCCTCCGCGGCTGGGCGAGTGGTAGATGGCTGACCTCTGTCACTGGCCTCCTCGCAGGCAGAGGCTGTGTCGGAGAAGACAGCAGCCTCCGAGTCGTCACTGTCTGAGTCGAAGTCCTCAAAACCTCCGTCGTCAACCCAGCCGCGCCAAGTGCTTGATGGCCCCAACGTGTAAGGCCCGCCGCCCGGTCGCCACAGCCCGTCGTCGAACTCGGGCGAGGCGTCCGGGTCGCCGCTGGCCTGGGCCAGCGCCTCGACAGCAGCCTGGAGCGAGGCGCGCGCCTCTGGGCCTCGGGCTGCCCAAGGTGGACGAGCACCCCGCGGCCCGCCGCCGCCCCGCACGGGCGGCCCCGTCTTGGTCCGGGAGGCGGCGTCAGAGGGATTGAACTCCGAAGGAATCCATCTCGAGACGAAGTCCGAATCCGATGCCATCGACAAAGCAGCTAATTGACGACAGTGCCTGTTGACGACCAGATTGCTCGCCCTGCCTTCCCCTGCGCCAAGACGAACCCCAAGTTGTCTCCCAGGAAGAGGTGGCGTTGGGAGAAGTGACGAACCGACCGAAGACCATTTCTGACAGCGATGACCGTGGCCCTTCCTTCTGATGACGCGATGTTCTCGGCAACTCGCCAGCGGCCACGAACCTTCAATCCCCAGCTAGAAAAGGGTCCGATACTCTCACGCCTGATGTCCATGAACTCGGGAGGGAGCTCATCTGGTAGAGCCCCCTCGCACGGCCGCGGCGCTGCCGATGGCTCCGCATCGGAAGCCAAGGCGCGGCGGCGGGCCTGCACGGCGTCCTCAACTGCGAACCTCCAGCGCTCGCTCTGCCGGCCCCACTCTCTCACTGTGCTGAGGTCGAAGGGCTTCACTGCGATGCCGAACCCGCCGTTGTCCGCGACGTCGGCGCCCTCGGAGTCCGTCGCGACGACCTGCGTGCACCAAGGCCTCTTGCTGTTCGCGTAGGCCAAAGGCAGCAGCGCCATCATCCAGCGGAGCTCCCGGGCTACCGCGGGCCAGATCCTGAGGCGCGAAGTCGCCAGCCACATCTATGAAGCGATAGATCGAGTGCGGAATGCTGAGTAGGCATCTTCTCAAGATGGCCGACCAGGTGAAGTGCCCTACAATGCGATGCAAGACCTCCCCCGAGACGAACCCGTCCTCGAGGATAGCCGCGATGGCAAGGCGCACCTTCCAGCATCGGCGGCGGCCGACTGAAATGCGCCCGGTGGCCCGGTCAAGCGTCATGCTCGTGAACTGGGCCTCGGGCAGCCCATGCTCGAGATCCTTGCACTGGAGACCGTCCGCGGCGAGCTGGGCGTATAGCTTCTTGGCCATGTCCCTGACGACGTCGTCGCTGGCGCCAATGACCCCCGCGTTGTCGACGTAGATCGCCGCCCCGAACTTGTCGCCAGTGATGTCGGGCGCGGGCATCCTGTCCAGCAAGAAGGCCTCTGACGGCACGCCCGCGCGGAGCGCGCTGGCCGTCGCCATCGCCTGGCAGAAATATAGAGCCCACGACCGGCCCATGGCCATGACCTCAAGGTGAGGCGTGACGTACCCTGTCGCGCCTACGCCCAGCTTAGGTCGCCAGCTTCTTGTTGGCTCGATGAAGGTGCCGAGCCGAAACTCGGGGCAGCGCAAAAAGGTCCGAGACGCCGGGCGGCGCCTTGCAACGGTAACAGGCGTTGTCGACGTCCATCTGGGACTGGATGAGGTCGTCTGTGACCCCGATCTCGACGGAGGCCCATGGCGCGGGAGTCGGCAGACGCGAGCGCGCTGGCTCTTCAAAGAGGTCGTTGACCGCTCTGGCGTCCAAGATAATGCGCAAGCGCCAGTCTTTCTTCGCCACGAAGAAGATGCCAGCCGTGGCTGGGCGCTCAGCACGCATGGTGACCAGACCGGCCCCCAGCATTTGCATGGCGAAGTTGCTGTAGCGCACCTGGTCCTTGACCAGAGAGGGGTCGCTGCACGGGCGAATTGAGGTATTAGGAGAAGTAGATCTGCCAGAAGACTCTGGCCGCAAGGTAGTCGAAACAGACCTCCAGCGTTCAAGAGCCTGACCGGACAGCACCTGCTCGCCGTCCGCCAGGCCGCCCACAACGGGCAAGGAGACAAAGTCAGGCTGGAAAATGCGCCTGGGGTCGCTGTCCGCGTAGCCCGGGCGGCTGCCGCCAAGCTCGCTGAGGGCTTGCGCGGCGGTGCAAGGAGGCGGTGGCATGGCCCGATAGACGTCGGCAAGAATCTCGACACTCCGGCGTTGAGCAAGTGATTCTCCCACCAGGTGGAGCATTAATTGGGCAGCCGTACATCTCGTTCAAGCACTCCACCGCCGAATTTACCCAAGCCTGCCAATGCCGACGAACGTGCACACGGCGTCGCACAGATCGGCACACAGAGGCTGGAGAAGAAAGATAGTCTCCATGAGGATATGGCAGCGCGAAGGGCAAGAGCTCTCGGCTGATTGCCATCCCTGCTTGCGGCGGCTGGACGGGAGCAGCAGCCGCCTGGCCGCTCAAGCGCCCCCAGCCCCCGCCTTGGCAGCCGCGGAGGCCTTGTCCAGGCCCTTCGCGTGCGCCTCGGCGGCGGCTCGCTCGGCAGCTCGCTCGGCCTTTGCCTTGCCCTTGCCCCCGGGGCCGCCCGGGAGCGCCGGGAGACCAGCAGCAGCATCCACGAGGGGTCGATGAGCATGAGAAGCATGACCAGCCTGCAGCCTCCTCTCCTCGTTTAACTTCCTCGACTCCTTCGCAATCGCGCTCTCGCGATGGAGCTCTGACGCCACGAACTCCTCCAACAGCGGGCAGAGCATCAGCTGCCCGCGCGTCTCCCCGACCCTGAGGTAAAGAAACTCGCCCTGCAGGAGGGCGTCAACCTGGCTGTCTGTCCCCAGCAGCTTGCGCTTGTAGCGGTACTCGGCGAGCTGCGCCCGCCGCAAGGGCAGCTCCACAAACGAGAATTCAGCGCCGTTGACCTGGTCGTAGGTCAAAGCGTACTCCACAGCCTTCATGGCCGTCTCATGGTCTGAAACTCCAGGGTCCGCAATAGAGAGCCCGCACGTCGACTTCCACCATGAATGACGCGCCCTCGGGTGACCATTGGTCTGGAGAATAAATTGCAAGCACCGCTGGGTAGTCCGCGGCCCCGTCAAGGGCCATGAATCCCACGCCGTCTCCGTAACCAGGTCGACAGCGATCTTGAAGTCCTTGAAACGCTTGCCGAGCCGGTCGCGCGACACCTCCAAGATGCGCGCGTCCAGCTCCGCCTCCCCGCCATCGTCACCTGAGTCGGCTGGCCCTGCACCGCGGTCCGCGACTAGCCGCAGCGCGCCGTCCTTCAGCAACAGGCCGAGACCCGTGCCGACGACCCAGGCGTCTCCGCTTGGCGAGTCGAGGACCCGGGCGCTGGCGGAGCTGACGTCGACCCAGCGTCCGTCTGGGGCTGAAGGCGACCTCCTCTGAACGTGACCCCGAGCTCGTCGGCGATCTTGAGGGTCCTGACTTCCTCCGGTGCGGAGGTGAGCGGTGCCAGCGGAGTCGACGTGCCGCCGACTGCTGGTGCGCCCACAGGCGCAAGGGCACCGCCGCCATCATCAGGCTCACCGACGTCGTCCAGAAGAGGATCTGCGCCCAGAGCCGGACCCACTTGACCACGATTCTGAGCTCGACAATCCGCTCGTGCTCTCTCGTACGGTGCTGGCCGAAGGACAAGTCCAGACTCGAACAAACGTCCCCAATGAGATGGAGGACCCAGACAGGCTTCCCGCAGTGGCGTCCCCTCGAGGTCGCACGGCGCGATGCCGAGGAGCGGCGGCACGCTCAGCTCCTCTGGGTAGATGTCCCCCGACGGCGTCCACACCCACATGATGAGAGCCGAAGGGTCGTCTGCTGGTTCGCCCATCACGCGGGCCAGCACCACCGCGTCGCAAGCCTCTATCAGCGTCCGTCGATGCCATAGGCGGCGCTCGGTGTCGTAGCGAACGATCACCTCTCTCCCTGGCTGCATGTATCGGCGGTCCAGCTCCGGCATCCCGTCGCCAGGCGCAGGAGTTCAGAGCAACGCCAATAGCCAGCCCGAGGACGAACGTGAGGAAGCACAGCGAGTAATGAGAGCCGAAATAACTTGACTGCACAACACACGTGAGAGCGCTCGAGGCCATTGGAGAAAGCGCCGGCCAGGCAATCTTTCCAGCTTCCCAGAAGGCAGTGAGGGTGGTAAGAATCATTCACCTCAGGCGTCGCCGCCTCAAAAAGACTTGAGCATAGACGGATGCGGCCGGAGAGGAGAGAGAAAGACGTTCAGAGAACTGTAGCATCCCCATCCTGGATCTCCTCCGGCCCCCGCAATACGAGTCGTATGGCGGGAGCGGGAGGAGGACGAGGAGGACCTCGTGATCCTCGTCATCCTCCTGTTCCTCCTGCCTATCGGCAGCGGCGAACGAAAGTCTCAGTTCGGAGTTGCGTGAAGGATCAGAACCTTCATCGCACTCCTCCGACATCCTCGCCCTCGCCATCGACCTCTGCTCCTCCTCCTCCTCCTCCCGCTCCTTACTGCCCCTGCCCTCTCCCCAACGTGCCGACTCCTTCTTGCCACTCTCGGTGGCCGAATTCAGAGCACAAGCGGCCGAATTCAGCGGACAACAAAAAACAGCATCCGCCACCGCGACCGCGGACGAAGCATGAACTCCCTGGGAGCCCTGTTACGTCCACCAAAGCCGGCTTCCTCCCCATCCTCCCTCCCCAACGACCTCATCCTCCTGCTGACTCAGCCTCTTTGCTCTTCAGTCATATCCTCCTCCATCCCCAGTCCTCACCAAGAACGCCTCCTCGTCGCACCTCGAAGCGTGCCGAACAATTGGGTCTAGGCGTTTCGGCTCAGAACTCTTCCCCATTTGTGATTCTGAAAACTGCAATGTCCAGCAGTTGCACGGATGGAGGGCGAACCATTTGCAGAATGTGGCCATTTCGCAGCCCCAGACGATTTCGTCTTAAAAGTGTCCAGCATGTATGCGGATAGGGGGATGGCGTTGTTTAAGAAGTAGCTCTCCGTTCGCGACTGGCACACTTCGCTTTCAAAACGTATAGGCATTCCACGAGCGGGTGGGTCGAGTACGGGATGCTGCGATCGTCAAAACGCCTCACACACTCGTGCTAAAGCATCCAACCGCTGCTGCATGGATGGACGGTGCTTCCTTTTCAACATGCAACTCTCGCGTCATCGACGCGCGCATGTTTGCATTCATCCTTTCCGCCGGACGGTCGACAGACTGTGGAGACCTCCTTGGAATAAGATGGCGAAGCTCCAGCTCGCCGCTGCCCTTCGGCGTTGCCTGCCCTCCCGCCTGCGGGATTGCAGAGCACAAGGTGGCTCCACGTGCAAAGTCCTACTACTGGGGGGGGAGGGCAGCGGGGAGAAGGGAAAAGGGGACCATAAAGGGAGAAAGGGCAAAGGAGGAGGAGGAGAATGAGGAGTGCAGCGGGGAGGAGGAGAAGGGCAAAGTCCGACTCCTGGGGGGTGGGCGGTGGGGCACCATGAAGGGAGATCATCATGAGGGCAGGACGCCGGAGGCTGAGGTTGTCCTGTGATGGCCTGCGGCCGCTCGAGGCCCTGCCCGCACCCTGGCACCGTTGGGAGATGACGCAGGCGAACAAGGACTATCCCGGGGGAGACACCTCGGGGGGTGTAAGGCCCGTTTCCCTCAGGACCTCTTTCCACCGTGCGATGCTGTCTCTCCTTCCTCCCTTGTGCGTTCTCCCTCCCTCTCGTCTTGCTCCTCATTCGCCTCCGCCCGCGAGGACTCATGCTCCCTGTTTCGCCCGGTCATCTTTCACACACACACACACACCCAGAGCGAACCAAACGATCCGAACAGGTTGGCGTAACCGCGCCCCCGCCTGTCTCTTCTCCTCCTCCGACTGCCTCCTCCCTCGTCCCTCATCCTTCCACCTCCCGCCACCTCGCCCTCCTCAACATCCCGCTCATCCTTCCGCCTCCTGCCCCTGCTACCTGTACCCCTTCTCCCCGTCTGGTCCTCCTCCTACGCATGGTGCCCATCACCCGTAGTAGTTTGGCATTGGCTGCTGCCCCCAGTACCTGCGCAGAGGGCTCGATCGAAGGCTGGCCGGGTGGCGCAGTGGCGCAGGGCTCGAGCGGGCAGCACAGAACCCTCACTCCACCGCACTGCCTCGCAAGGAGGGGCCAGGAAGCAGGAAGGAGGGAGGAGGAACTCCAGAAGCCTGCAAGGGCCTTCGGAGACACCGAGAAGATGGAGACCCCTACAAGCTTCCCCTCCCTCCGCCGTCCCCGTTTGCCTCGTCCCTCTCCCCTCCTCCCGACTCCAATGACACAATATAACAAACAAATCCTCGCTCCTCTGTCCATGCGCGAGTGTGCTCCCGCCTCTGTCGCGTTGTTTTCTCACACGCAAGGTTTCAACCATTGATTTACACCGCTTGCATTTAAAGCGTAGCCTACTCGATCCTTCTTAATTGTCCTCTCACTGCAACGTGCAATAATATATATGGATCCTATTCGTTTCTTGTCGTTTCCTTCCGCTCCTTCCGTCTCCTCTCCTCCGACTGCCTCACATCCTTCTGTTCCTCCTACTCCTCCTGCTCACTATTCTGCTCCTTTGCCTGCTCTTTGTCTTTACCCTCCTCTCATCCGCTCCTGCTTCTGCTCGGCCTCCCTCTAGGCACAGACGCCCCCCAACACCCCGTTTGCGAGACATACGTTGGGTCAAATCCAGCATCTGCCATTTGGGCATCCAGGCACTCCAGGACTTTCCGGTCGGAGGATAGAGAAAGACTCAATGCAACATGGGAAGGGATGAACAAGCTGATACCGATCGAACAACAATAAGTCAATACCCCCCCCCCGAATGCGTGGGGGCTGGCAATACACCAACTCGACAACCTTCGATAAACGTTCGAAATCATTCTCGACCAATCCTTGTTGCTCGAACCCAAATTCGACACCAGACCTTTCCGTGTGCGCGCTTGGACAAGGACGGAGTGTGGCTTGTTTTCGTTAATTTGCCCTCGCGCCGCGCACATTGTGTTTGAACTGGTGGCAACATCTTCGCGGATGGAAGGAGCTTGTGTTCCACAGCAAATGACTATCACTGCCGCGCTGGGTACATGTGCGTCACGGGCTCCAGGCAACTTCACGAATACAGGGTGGTTCGTTTTCGAAACGTGGCACTCACGTTTGCTCCGCGCATGC